TGTTTCCTGATCCTGGGAGAGTAGACTACAATGCCGGCTGTTCTGACTCACAGACTGCAAGTAAGTTTTTTTTATATTTAAAGGATTTGCCACTGATGATTCAAACGCGAGTTTTGAGCAGTGTAGAGTAGCGTTTATTGTTTGTCATTTCTCCGATCGCAAATGCAGACATGGTTTTAAGTTTACGCGGTGCGATGCAATGCAACGCGTAAAAAGACAGTATAAGTAATTATAATCCATAATTATGTCCCCACTGGATGCAACGAATGCCTCGTTTGTAATGGGTTTTAATGTTTTTGTCTCTTCGCTACGGCATCACAGTATGGTAGGGGCATAACATTTCCGTCACATGCTTGAGGTATTCGGCCAATCACAACGCACTGGATAGCTGACCAATCAGAGCACACCTCGCAAGCTCGACCGATGAGCTTTGTAAAAATCTACGTGTTTCAGAAAGGCGGGGCATTGAGGAGCAACAATAATGTACAGTATGTGGAAAATAATGTGTTTTTTAAACCTTAAACCGCATAAACACATTTCATTACACCAAATACACATAATAATGTTCTTTTTAGCAATGTCATATGACTCCTTTAAATTAGCCAAAAACTCATCAACTAACACCAATGACTTGTACATATGCGTACAATCATTTTAGACACTTCCAAAACTGTGGCAACAAAGATGGAAATACAATTTTTAAATACATGAATTATGTTTCCATTCTTTGATGCCACAGTTTTGGAAGTGCCTTTGGTGACACACAAGTCATTGGTGTTTGGTGATGAGTCTGCATTTAAAGTCACACCAGAGGTGTTCAGCTGGGATTAGGACTTGGCTTTGTGCAGACCAGTCAAGTTCTTTCACACTGACTGAATCAATCTTTTTTTTTTTTTTTACCTTGCCTTATATACAGAGGCATTGTCGTGTTAGAATAGAAAAGGGTTCTGTTCAAGCTATTGGTATAAAATTAGAAGCACACAATTCCTTAGAATATCATTATATGCTTAAACATTAAAATTTGTACTCGTGGAAATTACTAAAGTAGTCAAACCTTTTCATTAGAAGGGGGTGTCCCAATACTTTGTGCAATATAGTGTATGTTTGGAGCAGTAAGGGGCCCAATTGTACCAATCTACTATAAATTTAAACGGTATTGTCCCATGTTACATTTCATCCACATTTGAACTTCTAAGTTAGTGTCATCTATTTTTAAAACCCAACAAACCTTGCAAAAAAAAAAAAAAAAAAAGGGTTTATGCAGTTTATAACCTTTTTGGTTGTTGTTGCCTACAGTTTTGATTTAGTATCAATACTGAGAAACCAGAGCTCCAGAATATCAGAATAACAGGTCTTCCCAATCAGAGCCTCTGAAGGGCTTTATTACTGCCTTTACATATTTAACATGCAAAAGCTGATTCAAAATCCGTCACCTTCAGCCCACTTTCCAGATGACTGGTGCAAATGATGCTGGTGTTCAGTGTTCAGATCGATCCATCTCCTAATGTCTGCACACTCTCATCATTCACAGCATGGAGTATTTTTCTTGGAACATGGATTGCGGACAACAGATGTTGTTCTTTGGACTGGGCTTCTTGGCTTGGTGCCTCCTGTTTCATGAGTAGCAAAGATGATGAATCAATCAGGTCTAGACTAGCAGAATATCCTACTATGATCTCCTCTTCCTGTTCTTTCAATGCACTAGCCTCACTAAATCTCTAACAAATATCTATAAGCACTTGAGGCAACTGTTTTGGGTAGTGGTGGGAATATTTCAGCATCTAACATTTCCGGAAACGGATTCCAAAGCTGATCAATATTTCAGTGTTTAAAATGGCTTGTTGTTTAATTCTGTGTGAAGCACACAAACATGTCTGCTCTGATGTGCCAACAGAAACAGAAATAAATATATATATATTTATTTATTTATTATCAGAAGAGGCAATGCCACTTTAGTTCAGAAGACGCTGCACAAATGCACAAACGTTCAGTTGTTTCCAACGATTGAGTGAGTCACAGCACAATGAATCATTTTTCTTCCCCGACCCCAGTATGGGACAATCTTGTTACAGGCGACAGTCCCAAATGCGTCATAAAAATCTACTAGACCAGTGGTGTCAAACTAGCAGCCTGTGTTTCATACGGCCTCTTGAGTGTAATTTATCCTTTAATCTGGTCCACAAAAACCTGTTGACTTCATGCATTCTGGTTTAGTCTGTAATGTACGGAGCCCCGCACATGGCATGCAGGGGGGGGAAAAGTAGGCTAAATCATGTGCACGATTTACTATTTCGTTCCCTCGATTTATAAATTGTGTGCACGATTTACTATTTCGTTCCCTCGATTTATAAATTGTGTGCACGATTTACTATTTCGTTCCCTCGATTTATAAATTGTGTGCACGATTTAATATTTCGTTCCCTCGATTTATAAATTGTGCGCCCAATTTAGCAAAACAAGGAAACAAAATCGTAATCGTGTGCACATTTTAGTACATCGAGGGAACGAATTAGTAAATCATGCACACAATTAATTTATTTTTTCTTGCATGTCATGTGCAGGGCTCGGAATTAATTTAATCTTGTAGCTTCCTTATAAAAAAAGCAGCCAAATGTGAATTAAATTAACTTATTAGAGAGAAAAACAAATGCAAAAGGTCCAAACAGGAAATAAAACAGAACACAGAACACAGTTCGTGAATGGAGGTAAAAGAGTGTCACTAATGATATGGAGAGACATAAACTGGGTAAATTATACTGTTCATAGTTTGTGTCGTATTCAGTAGTTAGTATTTCATGTTGTCGTCTGTTGCTATAAATATGGTGGTTTATTTGTGTTCTCTTTTGTCTGAAACTGAGCTGTAATTGAACACTGTGACTTTGAGATATAAATAGACCATTCAGCTCAATTATTTCCCTCATCAGCAATGTTATGGCTTTAATCTACTTAATGTCTATGAACCTGTAAACTGTGATTATTAACTGAGATGTAGAATATATTTAACGTGAAAAAAAAATCTAAATATGCCAGTCAAACAAATAAACACAGCTATCAAAGCAGATTTTATTTGGCAATGCACAAGAAAATGTCTTCAGCTTTGTTTTCTACTAAATTAAAACCTTGATTCATTAAAGTGGAATTTGACATTCCATTCCATTGTGAATGACACACAACTCGACGTAACATCCACGTTTTGGAGACTGAACTCGCCAGACAATCAACATTTTAGAGGCACAGATGTAGTTATGTGTGATCCATGAGTAACCTCAATAAAGTCCACATACTGACCCTGAGAAAGTGATTCAGTTTACCCGTCACTGCCGTTCAGAGACTAAAGCACTGAGTGAAGGAATAAACATTTAAAAAGAAAAAAAAAACATCCACAGAGGCTTGACGATAAGTACTTCATTATTAACAAGCAACTGAGCTGGGCAGCGTTCAGTTCTACTGGGCCATGCTCACGTTTGTTAAGGCCTGGAGTGAATAATTTAACACACAGCAAAGGTTCATATATCTCTGTTTCTACAAAAAAAATAAAAATTATAAATTTTCCAGGAACTTGAAGAGGGGTGAATATAATAACTTGGCTCATTAAAGCAGGTCTCTCTGGCATTTGTTGAGTCAGACTAGCTCAAGATTCATTCACACACTCTTCATGGGGAATAATACAAAATTATATATAGAAAACACAGAAAAGTCAGCCTTTTGACAAAGTTCAGGTTTAATATTTGACCATATATACAGTATATTACCTAGGGACCATATATATTAAATAAAAAATAAAAAAAAGTTAAAATTGTATATATATATATATATATATATATATATATATATAGCTTACATAGAAGTTAAATTATGCTTTGAAAAAGTAAAAAAAAAAAAATTCTGCAGTACTGGTAGTAAGAGACTCAAATTTGAAACCTGCACTGTCTGACTAAATGAAGAATGATTTCTAATGATTTGTGTGCTCACACTTTGCGAATATGTGCATGAATTCTCAAAAACAATATCGTTCTGTGAGGTATTAATGTTATGTCTAAAGTGACTGTTAACATTTCATTGTTTTAATTAAATTAATTAACTTTCATTTTCAATATAGTTTGTTCAATAGCAAAAATTATTTCTTGCAGTCAAAATTTCACTGGCATTAAACTACTGAAAATTTGGTATATTGACAACCCTATTTTTCAATAGAGGTCGAAGAAACCCGCCAACCACTAGAAACTGTTAGTTACAAATTAGTAAAAAAAACATTATTACTGTCAGAGCAAATGGCCAATCAATTATGCAAAAGACAATTGTAAAACATTTCAATGAGGAACAGTACAAACTAAATTATATAAATGAATCCCAGCTCATAAGAACAGACAAGAACAAAAAGCTGACCATTTATCAGTAAGAGCTGGAGATAAAGTGCAAATGATTTATTACCAGGAAACGATTTGACTTAATTCCATCTGTTCGGTGAGATATGACACAGGAAACGTAGCCACGGTGAGCATCACAAGAGACACAGACACAGAAAGTTACAGAATACAGCATCAAAATACGCATTGCCCCTCACCTCAAGTGTACATGCTGCATTCTCCAGAGTCATCGCCCCAAGTGGGTCCCTCCGGTCGCCAAGGAAACTCAATCTAGCTCACGTCTCGCTCCTCTTCCTCCCGGCTCCTCCTCCCCTGTTCAGCATGTGAACCTCAGGGCTATCAATGACCTGAAACAAAAGCAGGTGGATGGAAAAACACGACCGTCATTGGCGCCGGAGCAGCTCACTGCCAATCATTCAGGCCCAGGATTAAGTGTCAGCGAAGACACGGCGGGGCCCTTGGGACAGCCGGAGCGTGTCTCAAATGAACGTCTGTCTGACTGCTTTGCATTCACACTCACTGATTCGCTCACTATAACGCCGACCCTCGCGGTCCCCGTGGGCCGGAGCAGAGACGCAGGCATAAAGCAGTTAGATGCTAATTAAGGTGTGTTCCATCAGGAGAAAGTGGCTTGATTAATGGATGTGAGGGACAGCTCTGCGGAAAGCTGGATATTCCCCTGACACTGCACACCAAACAAACATGACGGGACTCAATGATGCTTGGGGGGGGGGACAGCAAGAATAAGCAGAAAGTGAGAGCTTAAACGTATGTGATGGTGACTCGAGACCAATCTGAAAGGGTTTCTTTTTCTAGCCAGTTCTTGTCTAAGCAGATCCATCCTAAAGATTAACCTGCCGAGTTTGAGACGGGAGAATTTCCCCATTTAGATTGAATTAAAAAAACCTGAGATTATTTTCTGGTTCAATTTTATTTTTAAAGTTCTTCCTGCTTGACACGTATGAATAATAAAAAAGCCCCGAAAAATGTATTTACTTTTTTTTTTTTAATAGTTCAACCAAAAATACATAATACAGTTATTACTTTCTCACACTCATGCCTTTCCAAACTCGTATGCCATTTGTTTTTCCAAGGAACACAAAAAAAAAGTAGTATAAAAATGACAGAACCTTCCATTTTTGGGTGAAGTAATCCTTAGTTCAGCCAAAATAAAACACAAATTCTGTCATCAATTACTCAACCCTGTGTCATTTCAAATCGTAAGACTTATTTAAGGTAAAGAGAAGCTCAAAAGCGCTTAGCTTGATGCACAAATGAGGTTTAATTTCACACAAAGCAAATTTGGTTAAACTTCTGTTTGGCATATTTGATGTGCCCAATGTATGTGTACTGATGAATGTTTATATGTGAATGAAAGCCTAAATTAAACATGTTGATCAGATTAAATGAATAGTTCACCCAAAATTGAAAATGATCCCATAATTTACTCACCCTCAAGCCATCCTAGGTGTATATGTATATTCTTCTTTCAGATGAACACAGAGTTATATTAAATAATATCCTGGCTCTTTCCAGCTTTGTACTGGCAGTGAACGATGCCTGAGTTTTTTGAAGCTCCAAAAAACGCATGATAAAAGTATCCATGCTAAAAGTAATCCATACTTCAGCCTACATACATTTTGCCTTCTGAAGTGAAGCAATGGGTTTTTGTAAGAAAAAAAATATCCATTCATAAAACTATCACTGGCTTCCGGCAGCTGCTGTACACACATTCACGAGAGAGTTGAGTTCTGGCAGAAGGGTGACCTCTGAATCGTTCAAAAAGTTTCGATACCGATACCTTGACTTCGATACCGGTTCCTGAACAATACTTTTTTCAATACCAGTTTTATGAAATCAATTTTAACACAATTACATTCGATGGTGGTTTAAAGTGAGTTTTGAGTAAAAGCGGAATATAAATCTTATTTATTGTCTTATGTAGCATGATGCTACAGTTTGCATGAATGGTCACATAACACGTGCTTTCGGTCGTGTAACATTAGTATGAACGAACATCTGCATATGATCGGAACTCCACGCAGCTCCAGCGCTACTCTCCATTTGAAATGAATGACTGAATGACCGGTATGTCGCTTGTCGGAGACAGTGGAAAGTCGGCTTGAAACACAGTGGAAACGCCAGTATGATGAGGATCATTTTCATTTTAAAACAAACGCACCAGTGTAAATGTAGCCTTACATCTATGGGGGCTGGGACGCATTCGCACTACAGCCTCACGTGTGCGCCACATCTCTGAGTGTAACCGGTGTAAACTAGTAGGTGTGTTCGACTTGACGTGAACCGACTGTGCAGACCGGTCGGTGTATTACAGTATCAGAGCTAAGAGAGCAGACTGCTCCATGCACTTTCGAATCGCTCTCGCAGATGTCAAACACTGATCGATCTGTCGTGTGTTGCAGGCTTATTGGCTCACTGACGCTGATGAGATTAACCCCTTAGGTATCGAAATTTGGTACCGAATGACGAGATGTTTTTCGATACTCTATGGTATCGAGGCAATTTGGTCTGTGCTTAAAAAGTATCGAACTCGATACCCAGCCCTACCTCTGACCCGATGTATGATGCAGGCGTAGCAGAAGCTACGGTGAGAAATGACGAACGCAAAAGCACACTTTAAGATGGGTACTAATACAAATCTACAGTATAACCAAAACAACTCACTTCAAAGAGAGGCATACATTTTTTACCTTAGCTTCCGCTACGCCTGTGTCCTACATCAATACTCGACTCTCTCGAAAATGTGCGTACAGCAGTTGCCGAAGGCCAGCAATGATAGTTTATAAACTTTTAAACATGGATATTTTTTCTTATAAAAACCCATCACTTAACTTCAGAAAACATTCTTTAACCCACTGGAGTCATATAGATTATTTATAGCATGGGTACTTTTATCATGCGCTTTTTGGAGCTTAAACTCAGGCTTCATTCACTGGGAAGTGTCCATCATTTCGTGTCGCAGGGTTTAATTTGGTTTTGTTTGTGTATGTTTTTTTGACTCCCAAAGCTGTGATTCCCATTCACTTCCATTATATGACTGACATACTGCAACGGTTTGTGTTAAAAATCTTCGTTTGTGTTCTACTGAAGAAACAAAGCCACCTACATCTTGGATGCCCTGGGGGTAAGCAGATAAACAATTTTTGGGTTAACTATCCCTTTAATATTAATCAAACAGCAACAACAAAGAAATCACTCACTGCTCTTGATTGAATAGCTTTTGTAACTTTAATCTTTAATTTATACAGTCAAATATGCAATGCTGTTTTACATTTCATTACTTTATTCAATTTCTGTACCTAAAAACTAATGTTAGACCTACCTAAAAAACCTGAAAATCATTGTTTATTTTATATGTATCTTTATGCTATTGTATTCATTTGTGCTGTTGCTTGTAGTTAGATAGATTATTCTTATTTTCTTTATTTTTATTTGACAGTATAGTTGTTGCCTACACATAGCACATACCGAACCATACCGAAACCGTGACTCTAAAACCGTGATACAAACCGAACCGTGAGTAAGTTGAACCGTTCCACCCCTAGTGGGTGAGTAAATGACAGAATTTTCATTTTTGGGTGAACTATCCCTTTAAATCTTCTCTTAGCCAAGAAGCTGGACCGGAAACAAAAAGGCCTGGAATCAGCCCATGAGCCGGAATCGAACTCTTGCCTCCTGCATGAGCACCAAAGCTTTACGCACAGCTAAAACTTGACATTAACAAGTTTTAAAAGGTTAAATCTTTTAAACTTACATGAAATTACAATAACAAACAGTGAATGTAATCTAATCCACTTACTCTACTTAGAGCTGAGAATCCAGCTGACCACATTGAACAAAATACTGCAAGAGCAATAAAAGCCTAAGGAAATCAATAACATGGCTGGTTTAGCAAAGCAAGACTGCTGTTCTGTATTCCTGGATAGTTCCATCGGAAAACAAGATAAGGAGAAACACTAAGCAGATGTCGAAAGTGAGTCTCAAAGACAACAGCCGGTTTCCCAGGCCCATCAGCGTGATTGATGTCAATGAAGACGCAATGCTCGTAGAAGTGCAAAGCTTTAATCAAGAATGTACAAAATAAACAAAAGGCCAAGACTTAGTCCAGCCACACATGATTTAGCACTGACTGAAAAATCTCAAGTTACTTAAGAGCTGTAAAAGCTGCTCAAAGGGCCTTTCAAGACCCTTCCCATTCGTCACTTAAAGACCAGACACCCATGCTGGGCAGGCTTGCACTTTGGCCAATGGTGACCGGCTTTTGACTAGCATGAAAGCACTGGAATCAGATTAAGGCGTAAAACTTGCCATTATGTATTGAGGACCACTGCACAGCAGGATGTAACACGATGGGAACTTCTCTGGCATTATTAGGGAATCATACTGACAAACCGATGGAAATGTGTTTTCTAGGGCTGTCAGTTTAATAATTACTGTGAATACCCCGATGCGTACATAAATTCCATAATAAAGAATTTTCCAACAATCAGACCAATTCAAGCTAGAAGTACTAACTTGAAGTGAACTACCAGATTTATAAACTCAATCATAAATGGGATTTCTGTGTACTGACAGGAATTTGTAAATAAATCAAACAATATATGAATTTATGAAGCAACTTTTCGTAATTTATTTAATGTTTTTATCTGGCACAAAAATGTACTTTTCAAGGATTTTAACAGCATGTTTAAGCCAAATGTAGATAAATGTGAGTAGTTTCAATTAATTTGATTGAATTAATGTTTCGGTTACCTTTAGTCCATCAACAGCCCTAGTATTTTCTTAATCGAGAGCTCAAAATGTGAAAACGGCAAAGCACAGCATGTGCGCAAGGTGCTTTATGGATAAGACTCGCTATGAAAGCCCTGCTAGAGATGTGTTTGATTACGTGAACAATGAACACCGAAGTGACAGCGGCAGATGAAGGGAACATTTAATAACGCTGCATTGGGAGGTGGACGTATTGTGATTGTGTCATACCTCTGCATCATCAGCGACCACGTCATTTTGCATCAAGAAAACCCATACGGAAATTGAATGGATCAGTTGAGATTCAAGGTTGTTTCTAACCCTTCACAATATGGACATGTAGCTTCGTGCAAAAAGTGAACGCCCAGAACATTTAAGGCACAGAGCAACTTCAGAATGCAATCATCATCCTGCATTATGCTGCCAAGGGTTCAAGCCTTTCATCTTTTCTTTTCTGTCGACTGCCTTTAGCTTAATGCAATATCTGAAGAGACTTGCGTTTTTACGTCAGTAAAAATAAGCATGCAATCTCACTTGCTAAAACCTGCAATCTCACCGTAATGAAGTGGAGCCGTAAGTGAACATTTGACAAATCAAATTTGCAGTAATGATATAAACTAAAGGGCAACGGTGGCATATTCGGGGGAGGTTATCAAATATAGAAAAATATAGAAAG